TCCGCCACGCCCCACCCGCCCGTCCTCAAGCGCAAGGATAAGGGGGACGCGCCATCGCCCATGGGGACCCGACGAGGAACTCTTCCAGATCCGGTACCGGCAGCATATCGGGGGGGGCCACCCATGGGTCGGGGGCGGCACAGACGAGGGTGATGACTAGGGGGGGGCGGATATCATGGCGGGGGCCATGATCTTTCTCGGATTTCATGGCGCCTCTTCTCATTTCATTACGTCCCTGGCCCCCCCGCTGGGCCGCCCACATGCCGCCGGTCATGATTTGCACCCCCCCCTCTTTGACGCCCCCCTCTTTGTCGCTCCCGAATGGGCGGTGGCACGCTTGAGCGTCGTCTGGTGCTGGGTGACGCTGGGGCGTGCCGCCGCCCAGGGGTCGCTCTCCCCCCCGCGCCGCCGATGGGCTCCCGGTGGAGGCGGTGGTCTCCGATTCTCCTCGGGGTCTGCTGCCGTTTCCTCCGCGTCACCCCGAGATGTGGATACCGTGTGTGCGTCGCCCCCCCCCCCCCCACCCCACCCAGGGGCGACGCGCGCGCACCGAGCAATCGTGTAGTATATGCGTCTTGGCCGGCGCTTTCTGGCCACACCGCTCGGGAAACGGTCTATTTCTGAGCGTGAATTACCCTGCCCCGCTCTCGCTTGCCCCCTCCTACTGCAGGGTGGATCTGCTTTAGCTCCGGGTCGGACGCGCGCCTCCAAGGAGGACACACAGACCCAGTATGTACGCTTCCAGCGGGGCGTACGGCGAGGAGGAGGAGGAGGAGGAGGAGGAGGAGGAGGATACGAGTAATGAGGAGGAGGAGGAGGAGGAGGAGGAGGAGGAGGAGGAGGAGGAGGAGGAGGAGGAGGAGGACACACAGCACCAGGAGGACCAACACAGGCCGCCCATATACGGAGTCGAAGTCGGGGCGGGGTCGGGGCCCCCTCCCCAAGAGAGTCGGGCGCCTCGACGTGGTCCGAGGCACGGGCGCCCCCGCCTTCGCGGCCACCTCCCCGGGACTGCCGTTTCACCCCAGGCGTATGTCGGGCGTGTCCCCCTAATTACAGGGGGGCTCTCGACGAACAAAAAAAAGATACTCAAAAAGGTCAAAACATATTCAAAACATAGTCCCCAGACTATTTGTGGGGTATTTTTTAATTTTTCGTGCCCCAAAGAGGTCAAAAGATATGCAAAAAATAGTCCCCAGACTATTTGTGGGGTATTTTTTGTTTTTCGTCGAAAATCCCCCTGTAGGGGGGGGACAGGCCCGACTTAGCCCCAGGCCGTCTTTGGACGGTCCCGAGGCTCGGTGGGGGCCCCGAGCGTCGGGCCGGACGAGAGGGTAGGACAAGGGAAGGGTGGGGGGTACGAAACCTGCTGCGGGCAGCTGGTGTCCGCCCCGCCGCCGGGTCCATTCCTCGATACATGGGCGCCCTCGGGCGCCAGGAGTTGCCAGGAAAACCGAGCTTCTTCCCTGCCTCCCTCTCCTGCCGCCAGGAAAACCGAGCTTTACGTGAGCTGACTCTCTACCCTGCCTGTTCACATCCTACCCTTCCGCCCCCCCCCCCGAGCGAGAGAGGCCCAAGACGATGAAACACCTCCGTCTCGTTTTTTTTGTTCGACACGCCGGATCTGTGCCCCGCGCGCTGGCCCAGTCAACGCACGCCTCGGAACGATCGAAGTGGGAACGGAAAGAATGGGTACAGAGACGGGCAGCTGTTCCTGTTTGTTTTGAACAGGACTCGCCGTCGGTGACGCCGCGGCTTGCGTCCATTTAAATCAGACAGCCGCCTGCCCAACAGCGGCCGATGTTGGTTTGGGATGGCATCTGTTGTTTGGCATCGTACCTATCGGTTGGAAGAAGCAGGTAACAACATGAAGTAGGAAGGCGTTGAAAGTAGACTGGGTGTCCGCCCGCGCCTAATGTAGATTGGAATCTGGGAATCCAAAAATATTCCCAGACCCCCGACGTCATGATTTTTTCATACGACGTCGACCCCCAAGAGGTTTCGACCTGTTCCCCGGGACCGGTTGTTCATCCTGAGTTGTTTTTTTGACGGCCTTGAGGCCCTGTAAGTAAGGGCCCCCAGAGGCCGAAAATCGTGAAACAAATTCCGTCGTGAGTTTTCATGATTCGACGCGGTCTGGGTTTGTTGCTGGGCATCTGTCTTCCGTACCCGTGTCGGGCGGCCAGAGTGTCCCCGTTGCTTTCCCTTGCGCCGCCGAGGCCGCCGCATCGGGGGTGTCGGTTGGCAGCCCCCCGGCGGCCGCGCTGGAGGCGGCGTGGCCCTCACCGCCGACCTCGCCGTCGTCGTCGTCGTCCTCGTCGTCGCCCTTCTCGTCCTCCTCGTCGTCCTCGCCGTCCCCGGCCTCGTCCTCGTCCTCGTCGTCGTCCTCGTCGTCCTCCTCCTCTGCCTCTTCTCCTCGTCCTCCGCCTCCTCCTTTTCCTCCTCCTTCTCCTCCTCCTCCTCCTCCTTGTCGTAGTTTCGGCTCGCGAGGTGTGCCCCCTGGGTGCCTGCCAGCGCAGGCGAGGGCCCCCCCGCGCGCGCCGAGACAAGCGCACGGCACGACGCCGCCTAGGGAGGCGGCCAGCCATCATCGTGCGCGACTCCGCCGAGCGGCGGATCGCGCCCTGCTGCACGCCTGGGCGGGCAAGGCCACGCCCCGCCTCCAGGCCCTGCTGCAGAGCGCGGCAGAGAGGCTCGACGAGCACCACGGCTCATCCTCGGGACCGACGGTGCCGCAGCCTGATGAACGACAAGCACGGGTTCTCCACGGGCCGCGTGAACCAACGTGGGGCTGCCCCAGCTGCGGCACGAGTTCAAACTGGGCTTGCCGCATCGTCTGCCGCTGCGGCAAGGCGGCCCCCTTGTACGTGGTGCAGAAGGCAAGGAAAGCAGAGCAGAAAACCAAGGAGTCAGGCAAGAGCGGTTCACCTGCGACGAAGTCGCCTTCGAAGTCCGTGGGTGGGGCGGGCCTGCGGTCCACCCTGGCGCCCTGGGCTCCCGAGGCCAAGGAGATGGCCAAAATGCAGAACCAGCTCAAGCAGCTCCTCGCAGAGAACAAAAAACTCAAGAAGTATAACGGCAAGGCTTCGGACATGGAGATCGATGAAGGTGAAGATGGAGACAACGTGGCGGCGTCGTCATCGGTCGCGCAGCGTACGGAGCTACAGGCGAAGATCTCCAAGTACGAGCAGACCATCAAGATGTACAAGGACGATGGCGAGGACGAGCTGGTGCGTGACCTTGAGAAGAAGCTGGCGGCGACCAAGCTGCAGGTCCAGTCGCTGCGCACGCCTGCCATGGCCCACAAGCAGTGCACGCAGAAGCTTCAACGGGCTCAGAAACAGATCAGCACGGCGAAGAATGACCTGCATTCCTTGCAGCAGAAGCTGGAGAAGGTTCAGAAGGAGCTGGACGAGAAGAAGGATTTCCTGGAGAGCAAGATCGGCGAGGAGCAGGTTCTCACGATGCAGCTCGCTGGGCACGCGGCAAAGCTCAGTGGCACGGCAGAGGCTGGCCTGGAGGTGCCCCCCGACATCCTGCGGCTCGACACCGAGCTTCACCAGCTCAAGTCGGACCCCGACCTGCTGCAGTTCTATACTTCGTTCTCGGCAAACCCCTTGTTCGCCAAGATGGAGGAGCTGTGCAGGCAGAACATGGCGGCCAAACTTGCTCAGGCGAAGTCTCCTGAGCCTCCTCCTGCTCGCGAGCCCGGTTCTCGCAACGGCGACGGCGAGCATCAGGGAGGAGGGAAACCTGATGCAGATGAGCAGGGAAGTCGACATGATAAACGCGAGTAATCTTTTGTGTGGGAAAAAGATGACGTCGAGGAGCTCCACCGAGCCATGCACCAGGGCAAGAGCGAGGGCGACGCGTCCGCCAGCCCCGAGCAGCTTGCCGAGATGGTCGCAAACATCCAGGACACGAAGCATCGCAATCTCGACAGCGGAAGGGCGGCCAAGACGGGCGGTTCCTAGCAGAGTGCGTGATGGGCGACGGGTGCCAGCCGTGACAGGGCTGAGCGATCGGCGGAGCGACTCGGCGGCGGCATCGGTGCCGAGCGAGGTGATTGAGCCCCACTTCATCGAGACGCACAACGCGAACCAAGGGAAGCAGACGCTTAAGAAGAGGCTAAGCTGCACCAAGTCCCTCATCGTGCTCGCGCAGGCGATAGGGTGCCACGACTGGGAGTGCGAGGCCCTCAGCTCTTGGTGCGCCAGCAACAAGTGGAACGTCATGGTTGTGCCAGGCGCCCCTACTGCAGGCAAGCTCCCCGCGGCAGGTCTGGCTATCTTTGCGCGTGGAGACATCGGGCTACGGGGGCCGATTTACCCTGCGACGAGCCCTGCAGCATGGAGGTCCACTGTCAACGATCAGATATCCTTTGGCAGCGAGCTGGTACCGTTTCGGGCCCAACATGCAGTGGCTGAAGTTCCTGGGTGGCCACCGCTCAACATCTTCAACATCTACCTGCGCACGGGCGAGGGAATGTCCCTGAAGAGTGCCAAGATCCTCGTGAACGTGGGGCTGGCGATGGCAGGGCAGCCGAACCCTTCCGTCATAGGTGGTGACTGGAACATGACGGCGGCGGAAATCGAGGCATCTTCGTTCACGGCTCACGCCCAGGTTTCACTGCTGGTGCCCAAGTCCATCACATGCAGGACGGCGACGGCCAACTCGGTGATCGACTATTTCGCTTTCACCTCGGGGGCCATGAGGCTCGTGAAGGCCATGCAAGCGGACATGAAATGGGCAATCAAACCACATCGGCCAGTGGTCGTGGAGCTTGCTACGATGGGCAAGCGGATGATGTACCTCACCTACGTGGGCGGGGGCAAGATCGCGGCGCCCAAGCAGGTGGGGCCCATGCTGCAGGACGAGCACGACTGGGAGCTCGAGAGAAGCTACGCTGAGGGTGCTGCGGAGATGGCCTTGTCTGGCTCGGTGGGCGCTGCCTGGCGACTACTGTCTACCGCGTGGGCTCGGTTTGCTGCGCAGGCGGCTATCAGGCTTGGGCATCTCACGGGCACCCCAATCCAGGCGTACTCATACGGTGGTTACTTACGACCAAAGTGGGTCTCTTACATGTATGAAGGGTCGGACCCAGAAGGCATCCAGGCTGTAGCTGACGGCTGGAAGTGGTATGAGGGTGCGCTCTCAGTGATAGCGAAGCTCCAGTCCCACCGGCCCTCGGTCGATGCCGACAAGCTGCAAGATGAGATCAATGGATTCGTCGCCACCGACTACGCTGGGCAAGGTGTCAGTCAGCGTCTGGATGCCGCAGTGGCTCACGCTCGGCGGGCACTCGCGGCACCGAACACCTCAGCGCAGGACCTCATCAACATGATCGAGGAGGCGGCGGAGGACATCGGCATGGCTAAGCAAGCAGCGGACCCTGACAGCGCTCAGCGGCGGAAGCAATGGAATGGAGCTGGACGGCTACACCGAGTGACGAAGTACCAGGACGTTCAGGAACCCACGATAGTTGAAGATGCTGAAAACGTGCACATCCAACTATGGCGATCGACGTCCACAGCGCCACCAGCTTGGGTACCTAACAGAAGCAGCCTTCCGAGAGCGACGGCGTCGGCCATCAAGCGAGCATCAGCGATGTTCTCGACGCGCACGTCTGGCACCTTGGATGGTATCCACCCGTCGCACTACCAGCACTTGTCTGACGCTGGCTTAGAGGTCCTCAGCGCGCTGTGGGAAGCCAGCGAAAGGATTGGACTGTGCCCCAAGCAGCTCGCGTGGATGGTCATGCCGATGCTACCGAAAGCGGCAGGTGGCCATCGCCTCATCATCCTCTACCCGCCCAGTTATAGGGTATACCAGCGTGCGAGGCGAGCTGAGTTTGATGAACTTCAAGACCACGTGGCGAGAAGATACTGGGGAGCGGCATCGGGCAGGTCGGCGATTGACAGTGCTTGGAAGCTGCCGGCGCGGGCTGAAGCGTGTGTGTATCAAAGTTCAGGCATGCGGCGACCCTCATTGCTGACTACAGCAAGTACTACGAGACGATCGAGCTGGCTCAGGTTCGCGACAAGCTGTACCGTCTGGGTGCGAAGGATGGTCACATCAAGTTGATATTCAACCAATGGCAGAGCCCGCGGACCATTCGAGCACGTTCTCACCATGGTTCACGGCCACAGCATGCGTCTTATGGGCTCCCTGCAGGAGATGGATATGCAGACGTAGTCATCAAGGCTCACGCCGTTGAGGAGTACGACGCCTACATTGCGCTGCACCAGTACATCTCCTTCTCGTCCTACATCGACGACACTGGCGTCGGCGTGGAGGGCGACACCAAAGAGGAGGTGGTCCAACAGGCGATCCGTGCAGGGCGTGGTTTTCGGGAGGCGGCGCGCAAGCTGCAGGCGACCATCAGCGACAAGTTTGCCATCGTGAGCAGCTCGGACGACATCAGCAAGCGGATCGCAGAGGGCCTCAAAGTCCAGCAGCAGTCGGTCAAGCCAGCAGTATCCTTCCTGGGCACCGATTTCGCCGGGGGAAAGAGGCGCGGGGCAGGAGGTACGCGAGGGAAGTGCAAAGCTAGAGCCCGTCGTCATCAGCAGAGGCTCCGCAAACTCAGCAAATTTCGGAAGGCGATCCCAGCGAAGGCGGCAGAGCGCATATCCCGCATCTACAGGACGGGGGCCAAGCCTGCGCTCACCTTTGGAGTAGAGATCAACGGAATGAGTAACAGCGAGCTCGTTAAGTTTCGCAAGACCTGCCAGAGCCAGCGGAAACTTTATTATGGGGGAGTTTCAGCATCGGCAAAGCTTGTCCTTCTAGGAGATCCGGCGGTACACGAGGCGCTGGCTTCTGCCCTCCAGTGGTGCCGCATGTGCTGGATCGCCAACCACTGCCCCCAGGCCGCCACCGTCGACTTCAGCGAGCTGATTCAGTGGTGGGACAATGCGGTGACGGCACCAGGGATACTTACGCAGTGGAGTCAAACACGAGGACCACTACAACGAGCACCTATGTGCGTCCAAAGGGCAGGTTGGGAAGTCGTCAATGGGACCCAATGGAGGAATCAGCGCGGGGACATCGTGGACATCACTCAGACCACGCCCGTCATGCTCGCGACTCTGCTGGCACAGGGTCTTCACCGACAGCATGAACTAGCTCTGGGTGTGAAATGGTATGATGACCCCTCGCTGCGAGTCTCCTTCGACCTCGTGGCCCCCTACATCAGGCTGAACAGCAGGAAGTTCAACACCCACCAGAAGTTCTGCATCATGAGCTGCGCGTGCGATGGTATCTGGACACGTTCGCGGGCCAGAAGCAGGGGCTACATCACCGACGGCAAGTGCAAGTGCGGCGAAGTTGACACGGTACTACACCGACTGGTGGAATGTCAGCTACCTGAAGTCGCCGCGGCTCGAGCGGATGCAGAAGTAGAGGAGCATGTCATACAACGTCTACGTGATGACGGCGAGGGTGGAAGACTTGTGACAGGATGCTTCACCTTTCATGATGAAGAGCTACCGAAAATGGATCTCGGCACTCAAGCCTGCGTGGTCACAATCGACGGTGTTGATGTGGACGAAGGCCCTGGGGATATGGTACAGCACGCGGTGCCGTCGGACACCGAGGAGATCGAGTTTGCCATCGACGGGTCGCGCACCAAACGGGCGTTACTGGAGCTGCAGCGGGCAGGATGGGCGACGGTGCTGCTCAACCCCCAAGGCACGGATGCGCTGCGAGTGATGTACGCGGCGGTGCCAGCTAGCCTGCCGCAAACCTCGGCCATGGCCGAGTACCTCGCATTCGCCTCATCGTGCCAGGCGGCTGACCGACCTACGACGCTGCACGCGGACTTCAAAGGGACGATCAACCAGTTCAATAAGTCGGCTCAGCAGCAGGTGCAGGTCACGCAGCGGTACGGCGGCGTCTTCGGCTTTGCCCAGAGCCTGCCTGGGCTCGCCCACGTGAAAGCTGTGCGACACGTCAAGGCTCACAGATCTGGGGAAGACTACGCCAACCTCGATGCCGAGACCAAGCGCATCACGGATGGCAACGTAGTGGCGGATCACTATGCGGCAGAAGGAACTGGACGGCATGAGGCAATCTCTGATGATCTAAGGGAACGGCTAGACCAGCACCAGCTTCGGACATCACCAAGCTGATCGCGCACACCATGCCCATCTTCGACCAAGAGGAAGAGCGGTGGCAGAGGAACAGCACGGGCTACAAGCGCATCAAGAGTATCAGGACTGACAACTGGCACGACTGGCAGGATACGGACTTCGGTCAGCCGTGCACGCGCTGTCTACGCCTACGGCAGCCTGGTTATGATCAGCTTAATGGGTGTTCTGGGGCGCCGCCTTTTCTCAAGGAGCACATAGCTAACACTCTGGGTCACAGGTTGGTGGCAGTCAACCAGAAGGGCGACCTCAGCGACATGACATGCAAAGCGACAGTGTTCGTGTGCATCAAGTGCGGAGCCTGGGCGCAGCAGAGAAGGAATATCAAGTTGCGTGAGCAGTGCACCTGGCCGGCGACCAAAGGATTCGAAATCCTCAGCAACCTGCGGAAGGGCATCGGGCCGCGCAAGAAGCTGGCCAAGCACATCGACGCCAGCATGCCGCTGCAGTATCGAGGACCACGGCATCAGCAGCCTGAGAAGGTGGTTACTCGAGTTGCTCGACCTGCCCCTGACGGCCCATATGACTTTGAGCAGCGCATGGCCAGGTTGCACGAGAGAATCCGCGCCGGGGAATTGGCCAGGAAACACCAGATCGAGGACGCGAACACCATGCTGGGCAACAGCGGCATCATGAAGAGCTTGGAGGGCGTTAGAACGCAAGTCCTGGATGCCGCTAGTCGGACACCCCAGGCTCAATCGTCGCCTACAACTGGCGTTGGATCGCAAGTCCTGGGGGCTGCGGTGCAGCATCCCCAGGCTACGTCGCCACGGTTTGATGCTAGAACGCAAGTCCTGGATGCTGCCGTGCAGCAGCGTCCAGGCTCCGTCGCCACTGCTGGACGAAGGAGATCCACCAAGACGGCGGCAGGCGAAGGCGCACCGACGGGCATTGGTCTTCCTCCTCCTGGGCTGGTTGATGACCGAGCCGCCGAGGACTACGCGGACATGCGAGCGGACCTCAGAGACTGGGCGGCGTTAGGGTTCGAAGATTATACGTGTCTGGCGAGTAACAGAGGACCGTGGCTGGAGTGGTGTGCTGCGTTCGTCACAGAGATGTTCAATCAAGGCGGCGACCATCCCCTGCGGCACCTCCGCTTCAGGTTGTTCCCTGGTAGGACGCTGCAGCAGATCATCGATGAACATTTGTGCGAGTGCATGGCGGCACGCCGTCGCAAGGCTTGATACTTTCATTCATCGACTGCGGCAAGCACCACACGAAGAGCGAGTACGTCTGGAGCTTCAACATATGCAGGCACTTGCGGAAGTACTGAATATGTTCAAACGGCTACTGGGAGACCGTGCCCCAGACCGACCTCGACCACCACCTCCGCGCAAACCATCACCTGAGGATGAGGATGATCAGGACGTGGACCGAGCAGTATTCCTTCATCAGCGTATCGGATGGCTTGCAGCAGATGGGCAGTCTAAGGTTGGATCCAGGACCGACGCCCCGTCGTGTCCACTGTCTGAGGCTGAGGAGGCTGCTGATGAGGCCACTCGTGTGCTCGGGGAGACGCCCTCCGCCATTCCTGTGCGCCTGCGCAAACCATGTAAGGCAACGGCGGCGAGCAGTTCGGTGACCGCGACGACAGCGACTCCGGCGGCGAGCTCGCGACCGCGGCGCAGGATCGTTGGCAAGACTACGGCGAGAGTGTCCCCTGCCAGGCGAGGGGGTGTAGGCCTGAGGAGGCGATGGCTAACGAGACGGCTCGCTCCCCTGCCAGGCGAGGGGGTAGGCCTGAGGACGCGGTGGACATCCACGCGGCGGACTCCCCTGCGAGGCGAGGGGGTAGGCCTCGCAACAACGTGCTGGACGGCGAGGTCACCGCCCCTGCCAGGCGAGGGGGTAGGCCTGTGAAGCATGATGAAGGGGCAGAGTGCCCGAGTTCCCTTGCTGTGCGAGGGGTTAGGCCTGAGGGCGCGGTGGAGACCCACACGGCGGACTCCCCTGCGAGGCGAGGGGGCAGGCCTCACGACAACGTGCTGGACGGCGAGGCCACCGCTCCTGCCAGGCGAGGGGGTAGGCCTGTGAAGCATGATGAAGGGGCAGAATGCCCGAGTTCCCCTGCTGGGCGAGGGGTTAGGCCCATGGCGACCAGCCTAGACGACGCCGAGGAGGACCCCTTCCCCCACATCGGCGGCGGCACGCTGGTCTGAACATTTCAGAGGTGCAGCTGAGTTCGGGAACTCGATGGGGCTGCTGCACGGCGCGATCGCGGACCTGCTGGTCTACGCGGTCGTCTTCGAGCCGACGAGCGTCGTCGGCTACCACGTCTCCCTCCTCCTCTGAGAGGGAGCGCCGCTGCCTTCGCTGGCGGCGGCGTCGGAGCGCGGCCGCGGCGCCACCGCGGCGGCGTTCGGCTCCTGGAGCAGACCCGCGCCTCCGCGGCCTCTCATCATCATCCTCCTCCTTGTCGTCTTCTCGCCTCCGCCTTCTCCTCCCCCCCTCTCCTTCCTCCTCCTCCTCCTCCTCCTCCTCCTCCTCCTCCTCCTCCTCCTCGTCCTTCCCTCGCCGTCGCCCTTCTTCCTCTTCCTCCTCCTCGTCCTCCCCTCGTCGTCCTCCTCCTCGTCCTCCCCCAGGCTGTCTCGCGTCTCGACGAGACCACCGCGGACAGTGCTTTATGTTATTGGCCTGCATGCGGGCCCTCACCCGGCTCAGAATGAATTAGCGGTCCTCGGGAAAGGGTT